CATCCATGCGGCGCGAGTGCTAGCAAGGTGGCGAACATGCGAGCGAGCGTCCGGGCCACGCGACATCGCTCCCCTATGCGCGGTCGGCCATGACAGCTCCAGTTCAAAATCAGCTAAAGAGCTAACAATACCACCTCAAAAATATGACTGAAACTCCATATTCTCCCCTTCATATCTCTCAATTCTGTTAGTGATTTGTTCAACCAATTGCACCGTATACACGAGTACTACAACTTTGATTAAAAGAGTTTGGTCCAAATCAAAATGGTTTGCGAGATATTAATTTCCAAAGTGGGGTACATGCAAACTGTAAACTGAAAAAGTTCAGTCTCAGACTTAGCCGATTTTTGGAACCTAAAAACAGCACTGGATTCGATCTTGGGGTCCCTAATTGGCTAGGTTAGAGGCTGAACCAGGTCTTGGTACTTAAACAAAAGTTGTTCTACGTAATGTAATCTACAACTTTGCTTCAAGGATCTAGGATTTGTTTAGCTTTGTTTGCAAGATACAAACCTCCAAAGATGAGTACCCGAAACTGAGTTCAGACTTAGAACATTCAGGCATTGGCAAAGGAATTCAGTGCCATTAACTGTTTTTTAAACTACCTTTGAATGTCCAATCGTGCTCCAAAAGTGATGAGACTTATTTTGTTGTTTTCAACACAAAGTGTACTTCAACTCGTATTAAGGAATATAGTTGAGTTACCATATGAATTTGAAAGATAAGAATGACACAACATGTCCACCTGTTGTTGCCGATCAGGGACAGAAAAATCCTGGAGAGACCAAAACAACATTGTATTCAAATTTGAGACCACTATATGAGTCACTTAGAAGTTCAATCAGGTCTTGATCCAAAAATAAAATTTGTTCTACTTAAGCAGAACTGCAACTTTTATTTAAGGTCCAACTCTATGCAAGCACTCCAAATAGTTGGTCAACACAGGTAAAAACCATATCATGAAAAAGACAATTTTAGCTATTGCCACACTTAGAAGCATTTTTCTTGACATTTGCTCAACATGAACCCTTCATGACTTTTGTTGTAGAGTTCAATTAGAGTCATTTGGGCAAGGTAGCAAGCTTTGGTCAATATCCCATGTTCCCATTCACCTGATGAAACAATTCAAGAAAGATTATAACTTATCATTTCATGTGACTTCTTGATTCCAAACTTCATGAAACTTTTCCACTGATCAAGATGTATGCATGTTGATATAATGTACATGAAACAAGCATGTTTAACATTACTCTTGCTAAATTTTAAAAAGGGTCCACATGTAAGAAAAGGTGTGTTGTCCAAGTTCAAGTTGGGACTCAATTTCATATATTGGACCACAACACCTTCATCATCACTTCAAAATTATGAACTAGAATCATGATCATTGCTTGACATATCCTACTTAAGTCCAAATCCACTGCTTAACTCGTGACTAACACTTGGAGTGTTACGACATCTGGCCATGGACACTGTCCCCCATGGTGAGCCAGGCAGGACTTGGCCGGAGGAGGGAGGGAAGGGACTTTATTTTATTTGGTCTCACCTCAGGGCATCGGCAATCGACTGCAGCAGCGATGGGAAGGCCGGCGACGGTGACAACGAGGCCGATGAGCAACAGGGAGGTAGAACCACGACGAAGCGCAATAGCCATACCGGCACAAACTGACCTAATACTACAGATCTACAGCTACGAGAGGTGTGGGACCCCTCCCCCTCGGCTCCGGCGAGCTTGCTGGCGACGAAGAAGGAGGGGGCCGGCTGGATTTTAGACGGAGGCGGAGGTGAATTGTAGCAGGGGAGAGGGGAGGGGGCATGGAAATTTTTTATCAAATCTTCCCAGCAGGAAGGCTGTAACTGAGGTGCTTTGTGTCGCAGCATGCGCGAGAAACATGAAAATTGCACATGCAAAAGTGAGGGCGTTTTGCAGGTGGATACCTTGCACCAGGCCGGTACGGTCCTGAAGATCGAGTGCACAGGACTATGATCAAGACTTAGCAATAACCTTGAATAGTGTATAGGCATGACAAGCATGATGTTTCACTGATCATGTGTTGACCATTAGCTGCAGCTACTTGGACTTGAGAAACAGTAAAATACTTAGACGTGAGAAACAGTATAAATAGAAACAATAAAAATACTTGCACATGAGAAAATACGTATATATGGAGAGAAAATTTCCTCAGACCTCAGGTTCCAAATATAACGACCTGCAGTACCGAATTGGTTTGAAATTACACCAGGAAATTGTTCTTAACATCAGTCAGCATGGAAGATTTTGGTCACATCTTCCAAGGAAGCCCGTTGTAAGTGAGGTGCTTTCACTACGTCAGATTTTTATAGTAGGAACGGGGGCATTATTACTGTAGGGGCGGCTGGGGTTGGGGGCGCCCCTATAGTAGGCGTCCTCGGGCCCCAGCAGCCTAGCCGCACCTACAGATGGCACTGTAGGGGCGGCTGGTAACCTGAGCCGCCCCTACAGTTGGGGCTGATCTGTAGAGGCGGCTCAATCACCAGCCGCCCCTACAGTGCCCATTTGTCTTTTTTAAATTTTAAAATTTGAAAGGGTCAAATTTAGTCAAATGATAAGATAATCAAAATAAAAGTTATAGATCTTGATGAGTTCAACAACTTTTGTATTCATCACTTTTACATCTGAAATCATTTAGGGTTTGAAAATTTGATTTGAACTTGTCAAATTTTAAATTTCAAATTTTAAAATATGTAAAACATTGTCATATCCAAGTTTGATCAAACTTAAATGCTGAAGCATGATTTTAGAATTTTTTAGAAAAAAAACCATCACATTTGGAGTTAGTACGAGGAAGAACAACTAGTTACAAAGTTTACCCACAGATTAAAAAGCGAAATTATACTGATCATAGTGAACAGTGTGATTTCTTTTTTTAATTTGTGGGTCAACTTTGTAACTAGTTTTTCTTCCTCATACTAACTCCAAATCTCATGACTTTTTTTCTAAAATTTTCTAAAATCATTCTCTATCAATTTATTTTGTTGGTTTTGTCAATATATACATATGAAAAGTTTGAGCAATTTAAATTTTGAATTTCAAAAAAAATGCAACTTCAGACAAGATTTTGGTAGCCTAAATGATTTCAGCTGAAAAAGTGATAAATACCAAAGTTGAATAACTCATCAAGATCTATAACTTTTGTATTGGTCATTTCTTCATATGACAAAGTGGTAATGACATTGTTCACAAATGTGACACATCTCTCATAAGGTTTTATAAACTATATGAGACATGTGTAAGATTAGTGAACAATGTGTGCTAAGAATTTGTCAAATGAAGAAATGACCAAAAAAAAGTTTTATATATTCATGAGTTGAACAACTTTGGTATTCATCACTTTTTATGTTGAAATCAATTTGGGTCTCAAATTTTGGTTCGAACTTGTCGTTTTTTAAAATTTCAAATTTGAAAGGTTCAAATTTTATCAAATGATAAGATGACTAAAATAAAAGTTGTAGATATTAATGAGTTGAACAACTTTGGTATTCATCACTTTTTATGTTGAAATCATTTTGGGTCTCAAATTTTGGTTCGAACTTGTCATTTTTTAAAATTTCAATTTTGAAATGTTCAAATTTTGTCAAATGACAAGATGACCAAAATAAAAGTTGTAGATCTTTATGACCTCTACAACTTTGATGTTTATCAAATTTTCATTTGAAATCATTTGGTGTCTTAAAATTATTTTAGTAGTTTTGATTTTAATTTTTTAAAATTTAAATTTTTTCCCCATTTTTAAAGGTTCAATTTTGCAATTTTAAACTGTCATAGTTGTTTTAGTTATTGTATATGTAAATATATCTATAAAAAATAATTATAAAATTTTGTACTGTATTATTTATTATTTACATGTGAATAATTCATTTTGATTTGAAATTTTGAAAAAAAAAATCTGTAGGGGCGGCTTATAACCTCAGCCGCCCCTATAGTGGCTCTGAGGTATATTTTAAATGCGCGGCCTCGTCGCTGTAAAAAAGTTCGATCTATCGTCAGTGTCCAAGCTCGAAAAACTTTTCTCTCACGCCATTCTATCTATTTGCAGCACTGACGGTGTGAAATATAGGTGGCAAAGGACTTGAATGCCCTTAGAACTTTTGTTTCTCATGTGCCACTGCGTGATAGATGACTGGGTGATTACGACAACGTACCAAACAAGTCATTTCGTAGTTTATTTGCTCCACAAGCCACAGAATTAAATATCAAAGACCAATTTAATGCCATCACAGGTGTTTCAGCTAGGGATTTTGTAGATTCTAACCTACCATCACAAGGTGAAACAGACAAGTCCCCACATCGGATTGCAACAAATTCGCATTGCTATATATGTTCCCACCTTGTGAATTGTTGCATTCTGCAAGATGCTTTTGACAACGTAGTACAAGATGTTAGAAGATCATATTAAAAAAATGGTCTTGTTACAGTTCGGCGGAGTATTGCATTTATGTTTGTGTTGCACTGGTTAAGTTTTAAATTGTGAGAGAGCTTCTAGCAGCAGACAGCACCTTGCTCATATGTTTGCTAAAAAAAGAAGGGAGTATCTACCGGACATTCGAGTGTTTTAGGGAAAGGTGACACCTGAGTGTCACATTCCTTAAAATCACTCGATTCCAACAAACAAACACAATCAAGTGTTCACATCTCAGCCATCACTCGATATCTATAATCGCTGGATCCAGATCTAACGATACAAATAAAATATATCAAATAAATACAAAAATTAAATAATAAAATAGCAAAAAATACCAGATAATTACTATGAAGTGCTAATTGGAAGAAATTCAAAGAAAAAAGCAAATAAAACATACAAACAACAAATAAAAAATCAGAAAAATAACCAGATCATTTCTATAGAAGCCAAATTGGAAAATTTCAAAGGCGAACCAAATAAAACATACATACGTTCAAAAAAGCCAAAAAGTCACTCGAGGAATCGAGTGACCGGAGTCCTAAAATCACTCGAGCTGTAGTTTTACCGAAAAAGAAAGCACCTTGCGGCGACGACGTATTTCTGGCCATTCCGGTGAAGGCGGTCGACGAACTGCCGCATGGGGCCGCCCGGGAAGTTCACCGGATCCAGCGTGAAGTCCTTGAACGCGTCCATGTAGTCAATGTCCGTCCACATCACCTCCAGCGGGATCCTGGCCTTGGCGTACCCGGCCACCACGCCCTCCAGGTCAGCCAGGTTCTTGTACCCGTACCTGCACTGGTGGAACCCTGCAACGAACCGGAACAGATCGCCATTGCAAATGCTCGATCAGCTGCAAGAGCAGAGTGAATCCATCCATGGAAGCAAAGCAACAACTAGTTGGCAGCTGGCCGTACCAAATGACCAGTACGGCATGGGAGCCGGGCAGCCGATGAGCTGGGTGTAGTGGTCGACGACGTCGAGCGGGGCGGGGCCGGTGAAGAAGTAGAAGTCGAGCACGCCGCCAATGACCTTGTAGGTGAGGTACGAGCCGCCGTACTCGACGTCCATGCCGTTGCTGTTGAGCAGGAGCACGCCGTGCGCGGCGCCGGCGGCGGGGCACACGTCGAGGTAGAACGGGTGGGAGCCGTAGAGGTTGAGGTCCACGTTGGAGGCGGCGATGTCGGCGTTCCAGAGCGTGAAGGTGTCGTTGCGCTGCAGCCGGAACGTGCGCTTCGTGTGCTCGCCCAGCCCGTACAGCGACGCCCGGTCCGCCGGCAGCGCCGTGGTCAGCTCTAGGTACCTGTTCTTGAACACCAGTGCCGCGGAGGTGTCGAAGAGGACGTCGCCGCTGGAGCGGCGGGACACGGTGAAGCGGAACGGCGAGGCGTGCAGGGTGAAGGTCAGGTCGGACGTCGCCACGGAGAGGACGCAGCTGCGCGGCGAGGCGCCCGTGCTGGCTTCCAGGGTGACGTCCCGCGGCGCCTCCCGCGGGATGACGCTCTGGACAACACGTGTGATGGCATTAAATTGGTCCTTGATATTTAATTCTGTGGCTCGTGGAGCAAATAAACTACGAAATGACTTGTTTGGTATGTTGTCGTAATCACCCGGTGGCACATGAGAAACAAAAATTCTAGGGTATTAAGTTCTTTGTCACCCACATTTTACATCGTCAGTGCTGCAAATAGATAGAATGGTGTGAGAGAGAAAATATTTTCGAGTTTAGACACTGACGATAGATCGAACTTTTTAGGGTCGTAGACGATTAGACACTGAAATGCATACAAGTAAAATACCAAAAAAAAAAAAAACCGCGGCCTCCTCGCCACGCCGCCGCCTCCTGGCTGCGGTGTCCCAGCACGCGACCCCCGCTCCACGCCGGTCACGTCGGCGCAGCCCAACCTCTACCCGTGCTGCTCGCCTCCCGCGTTGCGACCCCCACCGCCTACAGCGTTGGCCGCACGGGCGGGGGCGTCATGGTGGCCGCACACCCGCCTGCCGCGACCACGCCTCCGCGCCCGGGGTCAGCCAGCCAGCGCAGGGATGGCCTCGCGAGCGACCACCTCCCTAGGCGGCGCGAGTCACACCGACAGTCAGATCTGGCCTCCACAACGACGTAAGCTGACACTTCCCCTCTCTTGCGCTTCAATCTCAGCATACATGGGATGCTGATGTGTCTTTAATGGCCTCCGATCCCCTTCATCTTCGAGCACCGTGTGGCCCCAATCTACTGTTTCCTTTGCTCTTGCTGGTCCTGCCCTTCAAGTGCTCGATGAAATGCCCAATGGGCCCTGTTTGCTGATTTTGCGAGGCGGACACCTACTCATGTAAATCAGTCACACGGAGGTAATTTTGCCATATCAGCGTAGCTCATCAAGTTTAATTACTGTCTCCATGTCTTCCTTCAGTATGCAGGACATGCATGTACATAAACATCCATTGCTTTTGCTTTCTGGCGCAGGTAACGTTACCAATAAATAACCAAACAATGTTCGGTCCTCTACTTCGGCTTTGCATTTATCAATGCTGATTTCAGAAACCCAGATAGGTAGTGTTGATTCATCTACTTTCGGCTTCGCATTTACAGATGCCAATTTCAGAAACCCTGAACGAGTGGTCCAGCGATGCATGGTTTTACTTGCATCACTTTGTTTCAAAGTAATATACCAAAAAGGTTCATGCTTTGTCCTATGATTTATTTTTAAGGTCTTATTAGGTGGCACTTATTAGTCTCTTAACAGTCTCTTCATTGGTTATATGAAATGAACCTCCTCAAAATACATGTATGCAATTTAAAAAAAATACATTGGAAGTTTGCAACTCTGCTCCTCTAACTCTTTTATGGCCACCTGATAATGTTGCTACTACTGTCAACAACAATATGCACATTTCATTCATAGTTCCTGATGGTTGGAATTATTGTTAGTATTTTTTGCATCTTATGTGTAGCCTAGAAAAACAAATGGTTTGTTTTCGTGCCCAATAGCTCTCACAGATTGTCAATTGTTCCTGTCAATGTTTTCCCTGCTTCTATACATGCTGGTAAATCTCAAATTAGTTCATATGCGCATTGCATGAAAACAATTAAAGATTTTAAGTTCTGTACATTCATATTGTTAGTATTTTTTTGTATTTTATATGTGTAACCTACAAAAAAATACTACTGTTCTATAACTGAAATAGTTTGTTTTCATACCCGTTGGCTCTCACAGATTGTCAGTTGTTCCTGTCAATGTTTTCCATGCTTCTATACATGCTGGTGAATCTCTGCAGTTCAGCAGCCGCAAAAAAAGACAAAAAACCCCGCTTCCTTAATCAGTATGATGCTTTTTCTATGATCAGTAAAATTCATTCATGTATGCTTGCTCAAACTATGTTTGTCATCTTATTCACGAGTCTCTATTCTTTGTCTGCAATAGATATGCCACGACCTGGGCCGCTCATTACCACTCAAACTTGCAGGAGATGTTGGACAGTTATACCTTCTGGAAGAGAAGAAGGTATGTTCTCATATTTTAGCAAACAAACAAGAGTTCTACATGTTACATCATTAATGTTCTCCCGCGTGCTCCCTACTTCATCTATTATTATTTCCTTACACGTATTTATAACTTGGCAGAAAATTCGGCACTGCCCCTTAATAATCATCACCGACGTAAGCTCTTAGCTTGCCCATATTATTCCTATTTTCCCACTACCTAATGTTTGCTCTGTGCAAAATAAACTTGCATATGTGCTTTCATATTGCTTTTGTCCATTATAATTTCCCACCCAATACCCGTGATCAACCCCATCACCAGCTCACTATACTCATTTCTCTTTTACAACAGCTCTCTAAATATTTATTGTCTAATGCAGCTATTCCTACTTTAGGTTTGATCTATAGTACATGCCACACATCTAAGGATTGGTCAACATGTGTGCACTAGAAGCCCCTTTTGTTCCATGATGTATCAAGCTTATTGTAGGGTATTATAAGTCTACCCTTCTCATCAGCTAAAATGTAATATTCATATTTTGCATGTCCTTTGTGCTTGCATTTGACAATACCAATAATTATAAGTGTTGCAATGCTCCCTCTCTACGTATACAACATACTTTTGTACATCTGCCAGTACCAATAAATCTAAGTATTGCAATGCTGCCTCTTTACGTATAACATACTTTTATTGCACGATGTGCACATACAAGGTTCAGATTTGAATTTGAAATATTTATTTTTTTTGCTGGAAAATCCACTGTAGGGGCGGTTCGTGATTGAACCGCTCTTACAAACACACATAGCAGGGGCGGCGGGTGATACAGCCGCCCTTACAGAAGTCCACTACAGGGGCGGCTGATATTACCAGCCGCCCCTACAGAGAGCACTGTAGGGGCGGCTGAAAACACCAGCCGCCCTTACAGAGGGCACTGCAGGGGCGGTCAGAAAACCGCCCCTACAGAGGCACCCTCTGTAGGAACACCCTGGGAAGGGCGGCTGGCGTAGCCACTCTTACAGAGGCTCTAGAGCCGCCCCTACAGTTAACTTCTGTAGTAGTGTTTGTGTGTGGGCAGCATATGCGTGAGAAACATGAAAACTGCACATGCACGTTGAACCTTCTTACTCAATCTAATTACATGATTAATTAGAAGATAATGTTAACATAGAAATACCCTACAAAAGTGATGGCCTTTTGCAGGGGGAGCACCAGGGACGGCTTGAACTACAGAAAGATTTGATATTTTGATGAAAGTAGAAACTGACATATATGAAGCGGACTGATGAGATCACATATATGAAGCAGACTGACGAGATCACCAGGGATACCTCGACGACAGCATTATCTCTTCCTCCATGGTGTATTGTCTGCTTGCTTCTTCAGTAGCCTGTTCAATGCACATGTAATGAGCCACAATTCCATCATCGTCGTATCTCCTTCGTGTTGTATGGCATGGAACATGCTTCCTTTTAGCTAATAAGTTTTCAAGTGTCATCTCCACATGCCTCATTGTAGGCCTATCTTCTCCTTTCATTTTAGTACACAATACAGCTAGTGCAGCTACTTCTTGAACTTCCCCATTTTCCTCCTCCATAGCTTGATGATCCATTATGTCAATGAAGTTCGCTTCGGTGAGTAAAGTGGTGAAATGTGAAACAAGACCACCACAATATTCGGGCATGTGGACAAATGGTTTCTTTCTAGTAAGTAGTTCTATAAGAAGAACACCAAAACTGAACACATTACTCTTGTCAGTAAGCTGTCCAGTGATATAGTACATGGGATCTAAGTAACCAATTGTTCCTTGAACAACCGTAGTCACCCCTGTTTGATCAATGGGTATATACCTGGAGGCTCCAAAGTTGGATACCTTTGCAGTTAAACTATCATCAAGAAGTATGTTGGATGATTTGATATCTCTATGAAATATTGGTATTGAAGCGGCCGAGTGTAGATAGGACAATGCTCTAGCAACTTCAAGTGCGATCCTCGGTCGGTCACCCCATGATATTGATATTGGTCCTTCAACATGAAGATGGTGATAAAGGGTTCCATTTGAAATGAACTCATAAACTAGTAGTGGAACCTCTTTCTCAAGTCAACATCCTAAAAACTTGACCATGTTTCTATGGTTCACTTGAGAAAGAATTACAACTTCATTTATGAATTCATCAATTTCTCTTTATACTACAATCTTCGATTTCTTGATTGCCACTACACGTAGATCCAGATTCCCTTTGAATACAATGCCATGACCACCACCAACCACACAATCTCTATTAAAATTATTTGTAGGTAGCTCTAGCTCTCTTAAGGTAATAATCATCCTTTGACTAATGTTTGCATTTTGTGATATCAATTGTTGCAATAGTAACCCATGATTTTGTTTAGAAAACATCTTTTTCATTTTTAGTTGTCTAATTTTATGCATTACGAAGGGTCCACTAAGTGCTAGAAGCAAAAGAGTTGTGCCACCTCCAACTCCTACTCCGATGTTTAAACCTGAAAATAGTAATGGTAAGGTATATTCATGAGTTTGGAGTAAACAGACATATACGAGGATAAAGAGATTTTGTTTGTCAATGACCACAAGTTAGATTTATACTTAAGGATTAGATGTAAAAAAACATGTAAAACTTGTGGAAAATTTTTAATTTTGATGGGCAAATGCATGACTCACCGAGAATTAGATTACGCTGCTTAGCTGGCATGACACATTTATGTTTGTTCGTATCATATTCTTTTCCGTGAGAGCACCTTGTACAATTGAAGCCTCCATCAAAATTGTGGCATATCCCATTGCATTTATTTGGAATAGAGCACTCATCGATATCTGTATCAGTAAGAAGGTTGCATGTTGGTAGTGCAAGTAAAATCATGCACATGTTTACTGATATTTCTTCGAAAAAGTAATGTGATGTGTGATCATGTAGAACCACTGGTGGTGCAAGTAGTAGCATGACCTTTCAGAGAGATATAGTAGTATAGAGTTGTAATTTGCACCGAGTAAGATGCATGATGTAGTGTTTTTGTTGCATTCTAAAGTTAAGATATTCTTAATACTACTGGAGTATCTTTTTTCTTTGAATTATTATGTTAATCCTCACATAAGGCGGCGCCAGCAGCTCCTCCAGCTCCATGATAAGACCGAGGCCCATCCACGCCGTGGCAGCACCCTCCTACTCCTGGTGCACGACGACCATAGACCAAAACCCCCCAAACTGACTTATACCTAAACTTCCTCAGTATATAAGGGGAGGGTCGGCTCTCAGAGAGGGGGTGAATCCTAGAAACCCATTCGATAGATTGGACAAGATAACCACCGGCTGAGAGAGCGTTCCACCGTCGGCAACCTAGCAAGAGTGAGGGCCGATTCCCATACTCGCTGGGACGAAGCCTCACCGCCGACGAGCCGTAGGATAGCACCGAAGAACACCTTACTGCTGGACATAGGGCCTCGATAGCCCGAAACAGGATAAATCGCCGCGTCTCTCTTGAGTTTTTGAGTACCCGAGCCACCGGGGACCCACACTTCCGACATCCAACAAACAACATGATCCTTGCTGTGGTTATGAACCCATGACACATATATATGTTTTATGGTTATCTAAACAATTATTTTATAATAGAATATGTTGATAATTTAGACGTAGATTTGAGGGTGTATTTAATTTTTCTAATAATGAGATGAAAAATGAGTAACGTAAATTATTGATTATAATACGAGGACGTGGGTAGTTAGATGAAAGTTTGGTCTATGTTAGATCATGTTTTTTAATGGCATTGGTGGGTAATATAAATAGAAAGTCATGTGTTACTTTATATGTTTTACACAATACCAGAGGTGGATTATTATTTAGAAAATAGAATAGATCCAATATCTATTATCATCAATGGTGATTAATTAGGTTATAGCAAATTGATGGTCAGATGTTTATAATTTTTGAGAGATTTCTAGGATCTATCTTTTATTTTTCTATTGGGTCTTGTCACGATTAACAAGCAGGCTCCATTACGGATCTCTAGTTAGATTTTATAGTATTTATATTTTTTCTAGAGTGATGTGTATTTAGTTGAAAATTAATTTTAAGATATATAAACTCTTGTTGCATCGCTTCTGTGACTTCACAAATCTATCGTTTAGCTTTTAACTTTTAATCGAGTTGTTGCATTTTCACATGATAAGTAGAAATCTTAGTGTTCTTTATCTTTTATGCAAAAAATATTTTTTTATTAAAAAGAACCGAAGTCCTAGTAGTATTGTTTTCCACATGTTAAGTTAAAACTCAACATGCACCCCAGCACTGATATGTTGAATTTGTTATACCACATAATTATATGTGTAGTATTATTTTATATATCATAGATTACTCAAAATTAAATTATTAGTATTGGTATGACATAATGTTTCAGTCAAAATGTAAACTTATTTAAAATAATAACTTATGAAATTTATTATCGTGTAATATTAATATAAATTAAAGTGAATTGCCAATGTTTTTTCTATGTGATTTGTTAAGTGAATATTTTTCCATGCTTCATAAGTTATTAAAATAAATATTTATCCTAATCCTTACATGTTTATTTGATATACATGGTGGAAAATAGCATAATAATATATATTAGTATTTACATGTAGATTTGGGAGATATTTTTGTTTAGTTTTTATGTGGCTGAGGTAGATACTAATATATTATAAAGGTAATACTTTATATTATCTATCATATCACAACGACCTATATGGGTAGGTTGAATGGAAATTTAAAAGGTTACTTTGCATTATCTTTCAAAATGACAAAGGTGGGAAATCATTTTAGACGTATTTTAAATTATCTTTTATAACATGTGTGTATTTACTATTTAAATACAAAGTTAGAGCATTTTTTTTAAATTATCTTTATTATAGTAATAAATCTGGGTAATTTAGATGCAATATTAAAAGATTATTTTGAATTTTATTTTATAACAATAAACGTGGGTAATTTAGATGCAATATTATGGATATGGCTACTTGTCAGCATCGTTGGCCTATTTGTCGGCATTAGAAAATCCAAAGGGAAATGTGATTGGCTGCTTATTACGACCTCTTATCATGGAACCGTTTCATGTCATTCAAGCTATCTTCCCAAGACAAATACTACCAAGGAACCATGCATCCTTGACGAAACAAAAGCTGTATCTTCATTCAGAAACCTACCTATGGTTACTCGTGTCTCGGTGGATCATCTTTACGAGGCCCCATCAATATCATCAAGCAGCGTCTGGCAGGCCCTTTGTCTAGCGATGGGACAAATACATGACCGGGCAACCAATGTTGAAGATGTGGGTAATTTATTTATATACAATATAGGGATTATTTTTAATTATCATTTATAATGGGCACGGGTGGGCAATTTAGATGCAAAATTGGGGTTTACTTTATGTATTTTTCATAATGGTAGAGGTGAGTAAATTTTTTTATATAAATTACAATAAATCTAATGGTTGTTACCGGTGATGATGATCAGAGTCTACCAAATTAAAGACTAGATATTTCTGATTATTGTGAGATTTTCTAGAATTTATCTTTTTTCTAGCACATCTGGTGAGAATTAACATGGTGTCTCCGTCAGGGCCTTTAATTAGTAATAGTAGCACATCTGGTGAAAATTAATGTGGTGCCTCCGTCGGGCCTCTAATTAGTAATAGTAAGATAAGGAACTTAGTGAAACCAAGTTTAAGGGAGAAGTATAACCTGTACAACTATTTTTGAGGTATGGATTTCCTTGAAAGCCATCAGACCACTTGGAGCGGTACCCATCACGTGTTTTCTCTTGCATGACATCTATGCAGAAACTATTGTCACTGATGCATGCATATGTAGCATTATTTAGCCTAGCTTCCTGACAAGTTAAGTTTGCCACAACCCATTTTATTGGTATATCCTCCTGAGAGAAATAAAAATTATCATCCAAGACGTCCTAAGAAGATGCATAGTTGTGACCATCATTGTTAGATATGACTATCCTCTTCATGTTGTTGGAGCTTGTGTCATTCAGCATGTTTGTAACCGTCAGAAGCCCATCATCAAGTGATAAATTGGCCACACGATATTGCGCGTACCCTCGGTAAAGAACAAGAGTTGCGTTACTTGTGCAGTTGAGTCGTAGGTTATCATTTGCGAAACAGCCTTCTTCAATCCCAAAAGGAAATGGAATGGTTATGTTTCCACATAATCTCGTACAGTTCTCATTGGGTGCCTTTGGATTGTAATCTGGTTGATGGTAGACAAAGCAAGGAATTAGGATTAATCCAAGGAAACTAGTAAGGCATCCTTTTGAGACGAAGAAACTAGCCAATTTAGTTTAGCGGCGAAGGCATTTGATATGTGTGGCAATTAATAAATACTGCAAGTGCAGGGATCGACACATTATTTTAGTCTTGTTGAATAAGTAACTCATCAATATAATCCACATGCACGTGTGACAAAATTTGTGGGTGCTTTCAGATTGGTAATAATTAATATGAGATAAACAATACAATAAATATAGAAAATGTCTACGCCACATAAAAAAAACTACGTCATGCGAAAAAGAAACAGAGATGCACACGAACCTATGCAGCCATCTGCAACATAGGGGTTGCCATCCACACTACGTAAAAAACGATTTTTAGCAACGACTCGATTTTTTTGTAGGGGCGGCTAGTGATGGAGCCGTCCCTACAGTGGGCGTGTTTCAGAGAGCTCAAACACCAGCCGCCTCTACAAATAGAATAGCGAGGGCGGTCGGTGATACGAGC